AGAGAGAAGCTACAGTCAGATAAACTGAGATATGAAAGCTAGGAGGTAAATGGCACCTTAAACCTAGGTTATGGCCATTTTTTTTAATATAACAATACAAAGCTGAAAATGAATGAACTGCAGCTACAATATTATATATATACAATGGTACCTCGCAAGACGAATGCCTCGCAAGACGAAAAACCCGCAAGACGAAAGAGTTTTCCGTTTTTTGAGTCGTTCCGCAAGACAAATTTCCCAATGGGCTTGCTTCGCAAGACGAAACGTCTTGCGAGTTCTTGCGAGTTTGTTTCCTTTTTCTGAAAGCCGCTAAGCCGCTAATAGCCGCTAAGCCGTTAATAGCCGCTAAGCCGCTAATAGCCGTGCTTTGCAAGACGAAAAAACCGCAAGACGAAGAGACTCGCGGAACGGATTAATTTCGTCTTGCGAGGCACCACTGTATATATATATGTGTGTGTGTGTGTGTGTGTGTGTCCCCAGTAGCACCTTAGAGACCAACTAAGTTTGTACTTAGTATGAGCTTTTGTGTGCATGCACACTTCTTCAGATACCCAACACGGCTACCTACCTGAATCTAAAATATTATGTTCTTTCTTCACATGACCAATCCTTTTCCTGCCCAACCCCTTAATATTCTTAAGTGGGTCTTTTCTCCAGTCTTCAGAGAGTAGCTGGAAGTAGGGAGGCAGAAAACGGTCCTCCTTTCCTTCCACGCTGCAGTTTTAATCTGAAATCTTAGGCGCAGTACTGTGCCCAGACCTCAGAAACTGCTCACGCTAATGAAATTCCCTGTTGCAAAATGTACCCAGAACACTGGCTACAGTTGCCAGACTTCTTGGGTTTAAATAGAATTTGGAGCAGACAAACAGTAATACTACCGAAAAAACTATCAGAATTATACGTGGAGTTAGTGCAGCATTGGTTAAGTATAAGATATGCACTGCTTTGCCAAGTTAGAAGCTGCAGTCATGTACTTGAAAGCATGCCTCCACTGGTTAAAACGGAATTGACATTCAATTAATATGTGTCATAGGCAAGAGACATAAGATAAACACTTCCTTGACATCATGTACATTGTTACTCTTTTGAGTTTACTTGCTTAGCTAAATTGCTTTTCAACACAGGTCAACACAGATATTTATCCTCAAAAAAACTTCACTACTATCATTATTATATCTTTTTACATTCCACCTTTTTCCCTGACAGAGACTTAAGGCGGCTTACAGTTAAAACAGAAACAGCTAAAAACATATTTTTTAAAGCAATAATTAAAAAACAATTAAACACTAGTAGAACACACACACACACTGCTTTTTTCTAAAAGATGTTTAGGGGTACTCTCGTTTTGACTCAAGAAAATCACCATTTTATAGTTCAAATCGGGGAAAATAAATACAGTAAATGGACAAAGGTACAAAGATTCACAAAATATTTAGTGGTATGCATACCCCTGCGTCCCCCCAGAAAAAAACCGCTGTATATACGAGATCACATACAGATCATCACAAATAAAAACACAACACCTGCCTTTCCTTAAAAGCATTCAGTTCCCAAAAGCCTGTTAGAATAAGCACATCTTCATCTGCCAGAGAAGGACAACAAGTCTAACTTCTCTAGGAAGGGAGTTCCAAAGTCTGGGAGCAGACACTGAGAAGGCCCTGTCCCACAAGTATGCCTGTGAGGGTGGTGGGAGCATGGGAAGGGCCTCCCCTGAAGATCTCAGAGCCCTGGCAGGTTTGTATGAGGGACCACGGTATTTCAGATATCCTTGACCTAAGCCAAAGAAGATTTTATAGATCCTAACCAGCACTTTAAACTGTGCCCACAAACAGACCAGTCACCACTGGAGTCATATGCTTCCTATAACCAACCCAGGTAAACAATCTGGCTACAGCTCTTTGACCCAATTGAGTGTTCTGTTTAAAAACATCATTCTAATTGCATTATTTTGCCGTTTCTCTCCCACTAACAAATCATCAGGCCGGCCAGAGTAGTTTACCTCCACCCTACAAGGATGTGTATATGACATGGCCGCAGCAAATCTCTCAGGCAGTAATCCTGTGCACGCTTATGCCATAGTAACGCTTACCAAAAATAGTGGGACACACACACAGGATTGCAGTGTTGATATGGGATTTTCAGTGGAAAGGCAAGGACCCTGCAAGCGCAATCCTTGGCACACCTGCACAGAAGTATGCCTGACAGTTCAATGGGACCCTGATCAGTGTACATATGACGGCTGCCTTTTTAACACCACCATAAACACGTTCACTCCAAGGTCCCCCCACCCCCAAGTTCAATGGGGCAATAAACCACCCCAATGTAAATGTGCAAAAGCCAGAGTCGGATTACCAAATAGGCAGCGTAGGCACCGGCCTAGGGCCCCCTCACCCCTTTCAGGGGCCACAACGGATCCAAGTGGGTACGGTTTGTTTTTGTGCAATGAAATCAGTTTGCTGAAATTGTTGGTTGGCAAGAATGAAATAAGGGACGCAGGTGGCGCTGTTGGTTAAACCACAGAGCCTAGGACTTGCTGATCAGAAGGTCAGCGGTTCGAATCCCCGCGACGGGGTGAGCTCCTGTTGCTCAGTCCCAGCTCCTGCCAACTTAGCAGTTCGAAAGCACGTCAAAGTGCAAGTAGATAAATAAATCCTGCTCCAGCGGGGAAGGTAAGCGGCGTTTCTGTGCGCTGCTCTGGTTCGCCAGAACATGCTGGCCACATGACCCGGAAGCTGTACGCCGGCTCCCTCAGCCAATAAAACGAGATGAGTGCCGCAACCCCAGAGTCAGTCACGACTGGACCTAATGGTCAGGGGTCCCTTTACCTTTACCTTTAAAGATGAAATAAAGTATTAGGAGATAATTTGCGGGAGGGGGGCAAGATTTCGACTGCCTAGGGGTTTAATCCGGCACTGGCCCAAGCCCAGGCTTATGCATACCTACTCGGAAAATTAGCCCCATCCAATTAAATTGGATTTATTCTCAAGCAACTGTGCAGAGAAGGGCTGAAAGCTCCTTAAGCACAGACATGACAACATAGCTCCGTTTACCTCGCGCAGTCCACGACGTCGAGGCTTTCGGCAAAGGTTCGCCCCCTGGCAGAGAAAGAGGGGGAGTTGGCACAACCCCACTTCCCTCCACCCCCCACAAACAAGGGCGAGGCTACAAGGAGATGCCACAGAAGTGGGGCTGCGGTGGTTGCACTGAACTGAGGGAGTGTCCTAAACCCCCCACAGACCTCACAAACCTGCGCCTCCCTCTCCCCCCCCCCTTATTTCAGTGGGGCTGAACGACGCGACCCCGAGAAACGGGGCTCCGAGAAGAGTCGGGGAACCGGCGCGGCTGCAAGGAGACCAGGCAAAAGGCAGCCAACGGTTCAAACCAACCCCGCCCTTTCCCGCCGGGCTCCCTCAGCGAGGGGCAGGCCCGACGGGCCCGAACTACTTCCGCTTCCGGCGCAGCGAGCTTCGCCGCGTCGGCGGGGTTGCTAGGCGACGTGGCCTGCGCTTGGGAAAAGCGGCTAGGCCTCGCCGGGAGTGGCGCCGCTTGCGGGCTGGGCAGGGTAGCGTGGGAGCAGCAACGGCCGAGTTTTAAGAAAGGGAGGGGGGGTGAAATTGCGTGTCCCTTTTGGAGCCCTGCCTTCTCAATGGGGTTTCGGAGGCAGTAGGCTCAGGTGGCAAAGGAGAATTGACAGAGTGCTGGGGAGCTGCAGGGGGCGGTGGTGGGTGCTGGACAATTATTACAGGCGGGAGAGAATAATAATAATAATAATAATAGTTGTTGTTGTTGTTTATATGCCGCCCATGGGCTCAGGGCACGCACCGCCCCAGGTGCCCGGGTGGCTGGCTACGCTGCTGACCTGGGGGGAGGGGAGTAAATTGCTACTAGGGGGATGGCAAACATCAGTGATTCCTTAAGAGAGGTTACAGAGCAGTGCCCGTTGCTCGGTCCCTGCTCCTGCCAACCTAGCAGTTCAAAAGCACATCAAATTAGATACAGAGGTACCGCTCCAGCGGGAAGGTAAACGGCGTTTCTGTGCGCTGCTCTGGTTCGCCAGAAGCAGTTTAGTCATGCTGGCCACATGACCCGGAAGCTGTACGCTGGCTCCCTCGGCCAATAAAGCAAGATGAGCGCTGCAACCCCAGAGTTGGCCACGACTGGACCTAATGGTCAGGGGTACCTTTACCTTTACCGAGGTGCATAAATTACCATATAGCATATATTCAACACAAAAAAGCGACAAAGGACAGCTGGACACATAAAAGGGGCCCCATTACCTTCAGTAGCTTAGGGCCTCATCAAACCTAAATCCAGCCCTGTGACAGAGTAATGTCCATGCTTCTCTTCCCAGGAGCTACTGCCTGGCCTTCCCCCACCCCCATCCCCATTATTAAAATTCTTTTATGTCTGCTTGCAGTCACTTACTCTACAGTAGCCTGTATCCTGTGATGGTGATGGTGTTTTTTTAAAAAACAAGAAGACAATCACTATCTTGGGTAAAGAAGTGCCAGAAAAACATGATTGTTCTGCTGAATATTACCAAGGGCTAGAAAGGAACCTCGTGTCAGCATGTTCAGTGACAGCCTGAACACTTCCTGGCTCCCTGAGGTACTGAAAGGGAAAACTTTTGTGTTTGTGTTCTTCCATTCTCTCCACTCTCCCACCTTTCACTGCAAGTCAGAAACGTATGTACTTAGACGTCCATCCCACTCAGTTCATTTACTTATTATTATTACATTATATTTGTATCCTGCTTTTTGGCCAATAATTTGTCCTTAGAGCCACTCATAGCAAATGCAAATTGGATGAGGATGCTTAACTCAGCCTGGATCGCTGTCTCATGGCTATTGGTCTCTGCAGCCACAGCAGGTGCTGTAACTCTCCCAACGGTTTGACTTCAGTCCCAAAGGCACACTCTTGTATCCTGAGACAGGTGGATGCCAACCATTTCTGCTCAATACAGTTTCAGCAGTCATTGACCAGTAAAAGTTGCTAAATATCAAGTGACAACAGCTTTTATTATTTATATTGTTCCATGAACGTACATGGTAAACATACTTCAGATAGGGATAGCTACCCTGTGGCCCTTCAGGTTTTGCTGAACTACAACTCCCATCAGTCTCAGCTAGCATGACCAGTGATCAGAGATTATGGGGGCTGTAGTTCAACCGCATCTGGAGGGCCAAAGTTTCCCAACACCTCTAGTTGACGCGAAGGGCCAGGGAACTACTAGTCACACCTGGGCCTAATTTCCGAAGGGATCGTGTTACTGTATTTTGATAGCTTGGTTTTCAAGCACTAAAGAAGAGAACAGCTTGTAAAAGGGAAGGAATTCCTGTACAGATTTATGTGACTTGATAACCTGCCTAATTTCTATCCAAGAGTGAAAAGGCAGATGTCACTATGCTCACCATAATCCAACTACAAAAGAAAGTCGTTGTACTAAACATATGTTGCATACTGTCCCTCCAGAGGTATTGATTCCGAAAATACAATGGTTGAATATGTACAAATCCCCAATGTGATACAACTCACAATTTGAATTGTAAAAAAAGTATTCATTTAGATAGACTGTAGCTTGCTGCTTTTTTAAACCTCCCCCCCCCCATGCTCTCTTATCTTTGCAAGTACCACAGCAGGTTGCCACAAGAAGCATAAGCACAGCTTGAGGCACTCTTTCAGTTGTCTACAAAGAAAAAGGCAGGCTTCATTCATCATAATAAACTCTTGAAAACACTTCTAGTCACAGTACAATATTTCAGGGTTTCTGCGCAAACCTTTCATGTTTGAAATGTGAGTCACAAAATTCATTTCACAGCTTCAGAGGCTTTGGGGTAATAATTTTTATTCTACTTGCCAAGGGATATAATTACAAAAATACCATCATTTTACTCTGGAAGAATAGTGTTTTAAGCACTTTAATGCATCCATCTTGGAAATTGGTAAGTAGAATGAATGAGCCACCATTGGTGGGGTAAGTAGAATTCAAGAAAACCTCAAGTTTCTTGTTTGGAAAATCAATATGACAAAACCTGAATCCTGCTGTGATATAACAGCCAAATAGCATTTTGTGATATTTTGAGCCATTCCACATGCATGTTTCTTGACGTATTCTGTTTTGCAATGCATTAGTTGTGAAACAGAAAAATATTTTAAACAGTGAAAAAGCATGTGCTTGAAACCATTCTTACTAAACGCTTAAGTATTATTTACACAGTATTAGGTGTAGATTTTGGTTTGTAACCCAAGCAAATCTTTAGTAATAAAAAAGATATAGTTTTAAAAAGAAGTAGATTTCACCAGGGAGGTATGTGCTTGTTTGTCAGTTTGGAAATATCTGGATAATTGTTCCTTGTCTCTCCCCCCTCCCCAGATGTTCTGATTGGTATATTGTTAAGTAGCTTGATCTGCACACACTTTATTATTGTCCTTTTTCATGTTTCGTTTCTTAATCCTATTGTGTTGGCTTCTGGATACAGTAGCAATTCGTAACAATTCATTGACATAAGGGTGGGGAGGCATCAGACCCACAGCACCAGCTACAGGCCTGACCAGAACTCCAGCACTTTGCTTCATTGTGGCTCAGCACCAACAGGGATCAATGCACCTTGGCCATTGTCAGAGAAGGACACCAGTTTGAATTTGCCCAATTCTCCTACCTTATTCCTTCTCCTCCCTCAGGTCCAAAAGGCTTCAGAAATAATAGCTGATGCCATCAAGAATCTGAGAAGCATATAAATGATAGAGCCTGTTTTCCCGGTGCCATGCCTGCTATTCCATTCTAGTCACCATTCCCAGGAAATTGGGGACTGGAGGGCAATTCTGAATCCAAAGTGGGTCAAAGACAATACAGTGGAACCTCAGGTTACAGGCGCTTCAGGTTGCAGACTCTGCTAACCCAGAAATAGTACCTCGGGCTAAGAACTTTACCTCAGGATGAGAACAGAAATCGTGCGCCAGCGGCGCAGAGGCAGCAAGAAGCCCCATTAGCTAAAGTGGTGCCTCAGGTTAAGAACAATTTCAGGTTAAGTGCGGACCTCCGGAATGAATTAAGTTCTTAACCCGAGGTACCACTGTATTGAAAAGCCCCAAGCCACATTGGATCTCACAGAGGCCTGTCTTCACATACTACTTCATCAGCTTCATCACCAGTATGTGAGATTTGCATACCAGGGACTTCACTATGAATACAACTCTCCTGATTTGGCTTGTGTGCAGCACCGAGTGTATTCATGTAGGTATTTGTAGCAGTTGTGGCCTGTCTGAGGAAATAGGTGGTCCATGCATTTGCTTATTTAGCCAACATCCTGATCAGACCAGGCTCCCAGGGACAGCAGGATCTGGAGGGGACTGGGGACTGTTTCCACATTAATCTAAAAAATAGCTAGCTGACACCTGCACAGCTCATGCTGCACCTGGGAGCGTGGATAGACACACAGACGAACACTGTGAGCCTGCCACAGGTATGTCTTTCAAGATACACAGGGATGAGAGAGATCTTGTTTCAAAACCCAGATGTTTTTCCTCCTAGCCCAGCTACAAGGGGCAATGATTGTCTCCACAGGCTGTGTCACCTGGGGGAAGTTCCATTCCACAAGGCTACAGCGGATCATTCAGGTAGCAGATACCCTGATGTGCTTGTGCTGGGTGAAGTCTGGAGAAAACAGTAGTCAGCTCCCTTTGTTGCTAGCCCTTTCTAGCCCAGCTCACAAATTAACAACATTTTCATCAAGAAAATTATTTAAAACCTAATAATGCAATATTATGTAATTACATCATACTTGAAACTGATTTGCCACAAAGAGAGACCCTGGTTACATTAACAGAGCAATCAACTATTGCTGGTTCACGCAGCTTTTCAACTGTATGTTAACTGCTACATGTTTATTTCCTGTAGGCAGGCTAAAAGCATGTTTCTTAAAAAGAACGAGGACAAAATTAGCACAAGATGATGTAGCTTAAACGCAATTTTGATGGAAAGTTGCTTTAAAGGGGCAGTTTAGAATTCGCTGGTAGGGTTGTGCTTTAAATTGCATGTAGGTTTTATCTAGAAGGAACTCTCTTGTACCATTCATGTGCATCTTTTTTCAAACAACACTTGGAGATAACCTCTTCAATTGATATTCTCGCATGGTGTCATGTCTGCTACATCTGTTTTCACCAAGGTTGAAAACCACCCACGTTCTATTAAAGAAAAAATGAACATTTCGTTAAGATACTTGTAACTCAAAATATGATACACATACATTCATATGCTTTGTGTACAGATGGGCAGAACAGTGATCATCAGTCCATGCAAAAGATGAAGCAACTTAGTATATTAACAGGCAAAAGTATAGCATTTTTCTTTTTCCAAATAAAGCTATACCAAATAAAATTATTCAGGTTTAATCATTGGGGGGGGGGATACTGAGATCTTGTCCTCCCAGCTACAGCCTCCTATGCCCCACAAAAAGAAAGGAATTGCTGGAAATCTGGCATAGGAATTGTGCAGTGCTCACACAAAGTTCCTGATTTCAGTCGATTCCCTTCCCCACTGTAGCCCCATAAGACAGCCTGCAATGTTTGGTAGGTTCTCCCAACCCTTTGGAGAGCCTTTAGGTGGAGGAAAATAATTTCTGAGCAGAAGTCAGTTCATGGAACCCATGTTTGATAAAGCCCCTTGTATGTGCTTGCCACCTGAATTTGTTTATATGTTTATACATAATTTCGCGCTTTCCTCTACATATATATTTGGGCTCAAGAACTATGCTTCTCTAATACCAGCCCTGAAGTGAAAAGAGTCAGCCAGTGTTTCTTTTTTTTAAAAAAAAAAATTATTAAGGATTTTCTTGTTTTACAGAAGTAAGTATAATGCCTCGTATTTTTTTCCATGTAACATTTTTACAAATCTGTTTCATTTGTTGAGACATTAGGGGGAGAAGAAAAAAAGGGGGGAAAGGGGGGGTGGAGGGAGGGTAGATGGGTGGGGGTGGGGTCGGGTGGCGATGTTTCTATTATGCTTAATGTATGTAGTGTTTGGTGTCAGCGTTGTTTGTGTTGTTCACTTGTGTTCCTTTGGTGGTGAGAGAGGTTGGGGTTGGCCTAGGGTGTGATTGTTTGTTTGTGATTGGCTGTGGTGATCTTTGTTTTCGTGTGTGAGTGGGGTGGGTGGGTGTTTTGGATCAGGTTAGCCATATTGATTTGTATATCAGCCAGTGTTTCTGAAGTCAATTTAGGAAGGAAATAAATTAGGCAGGTGGATAACCTAAATTCTTCTCTTATGCCACTTATCCAAGCTCTGTGCTAGGCAAGGATGGGAACTGTCTCTTAGGCAGTGCTTTTTTTTTCTTTAAAAAAATGTTTAGGGGTACTCTCATTTTGACTCAAGAAAATCACCATTTTATAGTTCAAATCAGGGGAAATTAATACAGTAAATGGACAAAAGTACAAAGATTCACAAAATGTTTAGGGGGGGTGTCCCCCCAGAAAAAAGCACTGCTCTCAGGATATGAACACTATAGAAAATAACCACCTTGGTTGTTTTGTCTTAATTAGATTCTTATTTACATATATGCTAAATGCAGCATTGGATGTTTGGGCCGGAATCTAATGCAAATAACTATTTCGCAGACAAAGCCATTTCCTTTTTGTCTGGGAAAATCGGAATGCAATACAGTGGTACCTTGGGTTACAGACGCTTCAGGTTACAGACTCCGCTAACCCAGAAATAGTACCTCAGGTTAAGAACTTTGCTTCAGGATGAGAACAGAAATCGTGCGCCAGCGGCGCAGCAGCAGCAGGAGGCCCCATTAGCTAAAGTGGTGCTTCATGTTAAGAACAGTTTCAGGTTAAGAATGGACCTCCAGAACGAATTAAGTACTTAACCTGAGATACCGCTGTAGACTTGGCTTTTTTAAAAAATGACCAGCTCTGAGTTTGTAGGACCCTCAGATAGATCATTTCATGGGGCTCTCATCAGTGGGCTAACCCTGCAGGGATGTGGGCCCTTGCCAGATGCTCAACTACATCGGCTAACCCTTTACACTGGCTCTGTTAAGTGCAAAAAAAAATATCTACAACATGGGTCCATCAGGTCAGTTCTGTAGACTGAAACCAATATCAGTACTTTTAGTGCTTTGCTCCATGGGTAGGCAAACTAAGGCCCAGGGGCCGGATCCGGCCCAATCACCTTCTAAATCCGGCCCGCGGACAGTCCGGGAATCAGCATGTTTTAACATGAGTAGAATGTGTCCTTTTATTTAAAATGCATCTCTGGGTTATTTGTGGGGCATAGGAATTCGTTCATCCCCCCCCCCAAAAAAATATATAGTCCGGCCCCCCACAAGGTCTGAGGGACAGTGGACCGGCCCCCTGCTGAAAAAGTTTGCTGACCCCTGCTCTACTTCCATTGCTGTTTAGGAGAGATTAGGGACTCAGCTATACAGCTGCAAGTACAGTGGTACCTCGGGTTACATACGCTTCAGGTTACAGACACTTCAGGTTACAGACTCTGCTAACCCAAAAATAGTACCTCGGGTTAAGAACTTTGCTTCAGGATGAGAACGGAAATCGCGTGCCGGCAGCAGCGGGAGGCCCCATTAGCTAAAGTGGTGCTTCAGGTTAAGAACAGTTTCAGGTTAAGAATGGACCTCCAGAACGAATTAAGTACTTAACCCGAGGTACCACTGTAAAACGTTTTGAATGTGTTGTAAAGTGCAATATTCAATTGTGACACTAGATGGTGACTGTGAGCTAAAGCAAATTTAATGCATTTTTCAAAACGATTTTTTTTTTTAAAAAAAAAGCATTTTCACAACATTTTTAATGTGTGTAGATTCTACCCAGGACGGAGGAGCTAGGCTTGCTTGTATGGACTTGCTTGTATAGACCACAAGAAATGATTTTTAAAAATTTATTTTACAAAAAGGGGGTGGAAAACCCAGCTTGATCTTACCTTTGAAACAGGCAGGGACCGAAAGAGTGCCATCTATGCACTGAGTTGGTACCGTGTAACTACACTGCTGTTCTTTATTTTTGCAGAAAAACCAGATGGTCTCACCATGTTTTATTCCATCCCTGAGATGGTCTTGCACCTTTAGTTTCTGCTCATTGTATAATACTGTAGCCCTTTTTACTGGTATGGCACATGGTGCTACAAGTGGGTGGGAAAGAGATACGAACAGTATGGTTGAACAAGCACATATCTTGGATCAGTCAGATGCTTCAGCAATAATACAAATGCACTTATGGGGTGAATGACATCATTATTCAGACAAATGACTTTATGTATAAATCAAGCAAAATTGGCCTGATAGAGCCTCCTCAAGTAATCATTGTTATTTTCCTAGCAACCTCTTCTATCTGCATTGACAAAAGGGTTCTGTCCCTCTAGCATTGCTTACATGTTCTTAAGCAGCAGATCACGTGCAAGAAGCGATGTCTACTACTGAAAACTGTAAGATTACACCTATTGTAGATAACTATTACGTATCATTATAAATATACATGTAATATATTTAAGGGTCTGGTAAATGTTTCTAAGCCCCACTCAAAACAATGGACCACATTAATAACATCTAGCTTTGGTTTTCCCAGTAGTGATGTATGGACGTGAGAGCTGGACCATAAAGAAGGCTGATTGCCAAAGAATTGATGCTTTTGAACTATGGTGCTGGAGGAGACTCTTGAGAGTCCCATGGACTGCAAGAAGATCAAACCTATCCATTCTGAAGGAAATCAGCCCTGAATGCTCACTGGAAGGAGAGATCCTGAAGCTGAAGCTCCAATACTTTGGCCACCTCATGAGAAGAGAAGACTCCCTGGAAAAGTCCCTGATGTTGGGAAAGATTGAGGACACAAGGAGAAGGGGACGACAGAGGACGAGATGGTTGGACAGTGTTCTCGAAGCTACCAGCATGAGTTTGACCAAACTGCAGGAGGCAGTGGAAGAAAGGAGTGCCTGGTGTGCTCTGGTCCATGAAGAGTCAGACACGACTAAACGACTAAACAACAACAAGAAGCTTTGCCTAGACTGCAACCCGGATGTGTTCACGTTGTACTGTGAAATTGTTCTTGTTAAGGTAGGCACACATAACAACTTGGCAGGGGAGTCCTAATGGGCATGTATACAGAGGGTAGCTCAAGAGTTATGAGCTTACAGATGCTGAATTCATATACAGCACAAGCAACACTGATTTGTATTTACAGTCTAGGTTCATTGTCTCACAACCGGCTGACTTTTATGATTGCATGAAAAATACATAAGCTTTATGACATAAAGATATCCGAAAAGCTGGGAACGGGATTCCACTAACTAATTCCGCTTGTGGAAGGCCATACGAGAATGTCCACAACAAGGCTCCCCCCCCTCAAATGCACCCCTTCGCTCCCTGAAACTGATAGGAGTGTGCGGTTTTGTAGAATTACCAGAACAGTGCACAAAGGGAGAAGGAAAGGGATCATTCTATTTGGCAAACTGAAAAGCTTGCGCTCAGAAAACAATTGCTCTAGTGCTATGCTGAATTCCTCCCTGGGTCACTTTTTCAAAAATGAAAAGCCGCCGTATGGTTAGATACATCAGATGCTAAGTTTTACCTCTGCAAGCTGGTTTCGTTGACCAGGTTCCTGTTTTTTCACAACTGGATTCTGAAGCCCCATCCAGTACATATGGAGGATTACAGCCATATTGCACAGATTCTTTGTATTTGTAAGTACGACGAAGAGCAAAGTTTATAAACCCATTTTCTATTTGCTCTGGATATGGACATTCTACGGCTGTGTTAGGGGGAAGAAAAAGATTGCTATGGTTTAGAGGCCATGGGGGGAAGGCAAAAAGAGAGAATTTGCATACCCAAGCAGTCTTTCAAATAGCAACATTATATTTAGAGGACTTACACCTGCATTCAGGTAGTTCACTCCAGTTTCCACTGGCCAGACATTTGGCTGTTTCGTTTCCAAACAAAGCAAGAGGCGGTAAGCACTCAAACTTGATTACGTCTTGGAAGACTGATACATTTCCAGGCACAAGTTTACGGTAAGAAAGGGCTCCAAATTCAGAAACTGGAGGTGGAGGACAAACGACAGCTGGAGGAAAAAGGAAAAAAGCAAATTTATTTGACGCAGTGTAAAAACTTTACTCTTGTGCCTATTTGGCTAAATATCTTATAAAACACTCCTGTTCTTACGGAATTCATTCTGATACGTCGGAGTATTTGCTTCGCCTGTAAAAAAAAATCTCTTGATTAGTTAACATAAGCTAAGGTGGCTGGAAGGTTTGAGTGGGCATCTAGTGCACTTCTCTTAAAAGAGAATTGTAAATGTGAAAGACCAAAACACGGCAACTGTACACCAAGTCTGCAGGCTTTCCCCCAAAACACACTGAGGCCCCCAATATATTTCTGTTCCTATATTGAAGCTCACTTTTGGATATGTTTAGCCAAAATTAGTTTCACGGATATTGTAAAAGATCAGTGGGAAATGTAGCCATTCAGGGATTAAAGGGGAGGGGACTTCAAATATACATGGGATATAATTGGTACTTCACATAACTCACCACCAAGGGTGATGCTGATTCATTTCTTACAAAGAGAAAATAAAACAAGTGTCTTCCCCATCATATTTTTTTTAAAAAAGGTTTCTCTTTCTAAGAACTGAGAGAGAGTTCTAATACAGTTGTACCTTGGTTTTCAAACAGCTTAGTTCTCGAACGTTTTGGCTCCCGAACGCCGCAAACCTGGAAGCGAGTGTTCTGGTTTGCGAACTATTTTTGGAAGCCGAACGTCCGACGTGGCTTCCGCTGCTTCCGATTGGCTGCAGGAGCTTCCTGCAGCCAATCAGAAGCCGCACTTTGGTTTCCGAACATTTTGGAAGTCGAATGGACTTCCAGAACGGATTGTGTTTGACTTCCAAGGTATGACTATACTTGAAAGCAGGCCCATGCCGAGTGTGGGGCAGCTGGGTACACCTTGCCTTGGCCTTGGAGGGCTAAGGAGGTTTACGCTGTCATGCCAGGAATGTTTATAACTTTATTCTAACAAGACTCTCACCCCGGGCCTTAGACAAGCTCTGCACAGGCTTGCTTGAAAGCAGCGTTGCAGCTAGAGCTGAACCTCAGAGCCAAAATCAAGGGCCTTGCTGGATTCCCCCTGCCCCCAATGACTACCTGTAAAGCAGTAGAAACAAGCCCTGTTAAGAGTATGGCTGGCTAGATATTGGCCTGATTGCAGAAACTCATTTTATTATTTACATTTTTAAAATACACGAACCTTTTCTGCAACGAAATAGAATCAGCAATAAAAAAAATTATTCCTGTAGTCATGATGGTGCTATGATTTAGGTGAGTTTAAAATGCAAACTGCTTGCTCAGATTGTATCTCTTTTATCATTGGGAGATGTATCAGGAACACAGAAGCATATGAAAAATATGGAAATAGGGGCGGAGAAGAGATTGGGTACTTCGCAATATGTGGCTATCAAAAGTGCTGTGTGAGACCAATGGATTGAATCCAATGAAATAATTGCAGACACAGAATGACTTCCACTCTGGGAAAAGAATTTTCCTCCTGCACACACACACAAACACACACAATCATCTGCAGTGAATTGAGAGGTAATCCAGAACAGATGGGGGGGGGGGATGTAGAAGCACTGTACAATTATCTATTTTGAGAGTATGACTCTACTGTTTTGAATGGAAAAGGTACCCATACAGTATCTATTTAAGAAATCGTACATAACCTTTCAAGACCACACAGGTTGTTCATATCATAAACACACATGAAAAGAAAATTTCACAATTCTCTCTAAAAAGCAGCTGTATTATAGAAAATAGAACAGAAAAACAGCACCAGCTGTTAAATCATGCTAAATACCCTAGACGAACCTCAAATTAATCAGTTAAAAGTGAATGTGAAAAGCTGGGTTTTTCTGTGTGTCATTTAAAAACAATTGAGCTAAGCGCACTTCCTGTGCGAAGGGAATTCCGTCACCGAGAAGGTCTTATCTCCTGCAAGCACCAACCTGATGGACCTTGGACCTTACCCAGCGGGCCCACAAGCAAGGCCTCCATAATTAGCTAATCTGACAGGAGTTCAGGCAGTCCTTCAAATAACCTGGTTCCAAGACATCACGATACCCAGACCTTTATCCAGGATGTCTTAACATTACACATGTACAAAAGCTGCTACATTTGATACCCCCATGAGTAGGTCAGTCGGCCCAACACATCTTCATACACAAAACGAACCCATTTCTCACATACGTTGGCATTTGGGTAATTTTTCACTCCACTGTCCATCTGCCAGGCATTGAGCGGTTTTCTTCCCTTGAAGAATATACCTGAGAAATAAAACACATCTATAACAGCAGTTTTAAAAAATATTTTGCACTCGTGATTGACAAAAAAACCCAAAACCAGCTGGGTTGGGTATCCCACATGGAGTTTCTAATATGGCCCAGTGATGGCCTTGATTTTGGTGCTGTTTCTTTTACTTCACACTTTATAGATACTTAGAAAATTGCCAAGAGTCGCCTTTGAGGCTATTCTCACTTTTGCCAATTAACAGCAAAATGTGTAATATAGCCTAAGCTACATATAACTCACTGAACAATTCTGTGTTAAATCAGAAGCTTACATACTCCTACACCAACAGATGGCCAAGTAAGAGCAATCTCATCCACTGGAATGAAATTCAGCAGCCCTTGCCAAGCTTTTTGACATTTGGGCATGGATATTTGTTGTAACTACAGTTTATTTGTTCTTATTTCTTTTCAGACAAAATAACATAACATTCTCCAGATCCATATGCAGGACGTGGAGGTTTTAATCTTCTTGCCTATATGCTACCTGTCCCTAGCAGGGACAGCGAAAATCCATGGGATTGGAATCGCTCCTTTAAATAGAACACCGCCGCACAACTTACCCTGGATGACACGAAAACCTTATAGAACTCTGGTAGGTGAGGTCTATATGTTCGGTCTCTCCATTTTCCAAAGGTCCAGGGTAGTAACATTTTTTTGCTGTTTTAGTATAAGACAATGTTTCATTATTTTTGTTCATTTCCAGAACAGAGGCATTCAAGTCATTCCAAAAGAGCCACTGCGTATTTTAATCACAACAATCTCTTGGGGATAGATTAGCACCCAATGAACTTAAGCGTGTGACCACATGAAGAGTACATCAAATCCCTAAATAGTATGGACTCCTACAGAGTAAAAGTGGTAGCTCAGTGGTGGTCAGGTACCTGTTTTTGCATGTCTGAGACCCTACTGTGTTTAATTTTTGGTGCCTGCAGTTAAATATATCAGGAAGCAGTTGATATGTAGGACTCGCCACTCTCCTGAAACCAGCGTACAATACTGGCAAAACAGAAATAATGCATTCAAATGTTCCTAAGTTGTTTCTCTGATGCAACTTGCAGTGCAAAAGCTGTTCCTGTCACACATCATAAAGTCACATTCAGAACTGTTTGCCTTACTTCAGTTTTGTACAAGGCTCACGTTACGAGGGACCCTCCCTTAGAAATGCTTTTAACAACCACATGGCAGGCAGAAAGCAATAGTGACAGCTTTTCCCATCTTTGCAAGGAAAGCTTTAACTATTGTTTCTGCCCATTGCATAGCTGTTAAAAGCAATTCTCAGGAACTATTTAGAAGGGATGATCAACATATGATGGCGATAAACGGACCACTTTGTGGTCCATTGTGACTATGCTATGAAACACAGCACAACGCTACTTGGGTTTGTTCTACCTTGGATTCCACAGCTATTACAAATTGAGGGGATGTACCACTGAGGACTGCTTGTTGTATGGATATTTTAAAAGGTTGCATAGCTAGAGGATGTGGACAGGATTCAGACATTTCCTGCATTGGACTAAATGACCCTTGGGGTACTTTCCACTCTACAATACAGTCGTACCTTGGAAGCCAAACGACTTGCGAGTTCAATGTTTTGGCTCTCAAACACTGCAAACCCAGAAGTGAGTGTTCCGATCTGTGAATGTTCTTTGGAAGCCGAATGTCCGATGTGGCTCCGCGGCTTCTGATTGCATGCAGAAAGCTCCTGCAGCCAATCAGAAGCCACGCCTTGGTTGTCAAACGTTTTGGAAGTCGAATGGACCTCCAGAACGGATTTTCTTCAGCTTCCAAGGTACGACTGTACTATGATTCTATGACCAACCACATGTATTCTTGTCTCTTTCTTGTTTTTTCTTTAAATCTCATTGAATCAGAAAAGTCCCAGCTAGTTTCCTTTCTTGGGTAAGATAGTTGCACCTTTCTTCCTGATTTTCCTAGATGTGCGTTATTTTCCTTGATTTATTCAATCCAGCTTTAGGCTGGAATACAGAATACAGATAGCTTTTGGTCACCTTGAGAAATGGCCTATGCCAGGAAATGCGTGCTTGTTGAGATTCCTATCCAAACATCATCTTGCAGTAGGTTGAGTTAAAACATTTAAATATTACTTTCTTGAAACTATTATATTTAACCACATCACCATCTCTGTCTTGCCAAAGTGGTATATGCTCTGGTTATCTTGGGCTACTGCAATGTTCTCTACATGGAGCTACCTTTGAAGTTGACTCAGAAACTAAAACTAATCCAGAATGTAACAGCTAGACTTGTAACTGAGAGTAGCTGCCAGGACCATATAACACTGATCCTAAAGGATCTTCACTGGCTCCCAGTATGTTTCTGAGTGGTGTTTCTGACCCTTTAAAGCCCTAAACAGCCTTGGCCCTATATACCTGAAGGAGCATCCCCACCCCTATTTTTCAGCCTGGACACTGAGGTCCAGCTCTGAGGACCTTCTGGCAGTTCCCTCACTGTGAGAAGTGAAGTTACAGGGAACCAGGCAGAGGGCTTTCTCGGCAGTGGTGCCCTCTCTGTGGAATGCCCTCCCATCAGATGTCAAGGACATAAAGGACTACACAACTTCTAGAAGAAATCTTAAGGCATCCTTGTATCAGTAAGTTTTTAATGTTTGATGTTTTATTATGTTTTTATGTGTGGGAAGCCGCCCAGAGTGCCTGGGGCCAGAATGGCAGAGTATAAACAATACAAATTATGATGGTGATGGTGATGATGTATCTACACTGATATCCAGGTGATTTCAATGCAGAAATCAGTAGCTTATTACACATGCTTGAAATAGCCGTTGTGGCAAAGTGTTACCGCAGCTGAGCTCTAAAACACACCCTGTGAGTATAATGTATTGCCTCTTCCAGAGTGAAGTTAATAAAATATAATTCTCATACTTTTGCTGAGGTATCAAGCATTAGAGAGAAGGGTTTCTGAAGACAGACAAATTCTGTATACTAACTAAATACAGTGGTACCTCGGGTTAAGAACTTAATTCGTTCTGGAGGTCTTAACCTGAAACTGTTCTTAACCTGAAGCACCACTTTAGCTAATGGGGCCTCCCGCTGCTGCTGCACTGCCGGAGCACGATTTCTGTTCTCATCCTGAAGCAAAGTTCTTAACCCGAGGTAATATTTCTGAGTTAGCGGAGTCTGTAACCTGAAGCGTCTGTAACCTGAAGCGTCTGTAACCCGAGGTACCACTGTACAAGGTTTGCTTTGTATTTTGTAAAATGAATAGTTCTTACTCGAATAGGTTATGGTAAGCAAAAAAACCAGCAAGACACATTATAGAAAGAATGTACTTACGTATACATCTAAATGTAACAATAGGCCATCTACCAGACCAAGGGCATGTATAGCTCCTTGAGCCTGAGTAAGGCACATAACCAGGGTTACAGTGGTATGTAATTTCCTCTCCCATATTGAATTCTTCCTTCTGTACGTCAGCAGTAGCCAATGGTATTTCAGGTGGTCTGGGACAGCCTAGAAGACACCAAGTACTGTATTTATAAGGCTTTGTATTCATTAACAGCTATAGCATCCCCATGTTTTGAAGCAACCAAATAAACAGGTAATAATAATATGAGCACATTGTACCTTTGGTTCATCACATAAAGGTGGTGTACTGAAGGCACAAGTGGCAGCAGCACTGTGATTCATTTTAATCCCGCATCAACCTCCATCAGTATATGAAGTTGACCCTCCGGCCCCTTGACTAGCACTACTGCTCGGAGTAGTTCAAAGGAAAGAGGGAGAAAGGATATGGTTTCTCCCCCCAAAAAACCCGGAAAATTGGCAGAGAGAAGATCTACACTTGACCCATTTGCTACACGTGCTGAAGGGGAAATAATTCACCAATTATTTGGCTGAAAGCTTTATCAATAAGAATGTACCAACCAAAATCACCTTTCTTTTACTGGATTCTTTGAGGGCCCACTCACAGAACTATATCTGCCCTTGTGAATATCTCCCCACCTTCTTTTCAAACATCTGATGTCCCTGAAGTCATGCCCAGTGCTATCCACTAAATAAATAAATCACAACCATGTTACAATATTTACCACTGACTTTTTATGTGACTTTTTTCTGCTAAAGGCTACATCATGGCTTGCTTTCTGAACTCTGGCCTTTTAAAAATTAATATTCTAACAATCCATTTATGATGATGCAGAAGCAGAAACAGGAAAGCTTTCAGAAATGTAGGCTTGAAATTAATACCGAACTAATTCAGTTTCCCAGATTTTGCCACACATTTATAACCTTTGCAATCAGATTTGCAAAGGGGATTTAGTTAATCCATAGTTCATGAGGCTACGGCTCTCTGACAAGTGCCAGCAGTTAAATTTTTGCTAAGAGAGGTAAAGTCAAGTTAGCTTCTCTCATATGCTGGCGTCTTTATTTTTACAACACATGCCTCACATGATATACCAGGTTAACACACCTGAACTGAATTAAATGATGGAAGCAGATGCATACTAAGCAAAGCAGGTCAAATTAAGTGACTTGTTAGACTTAGATCATATTGTGACATTCCAGCATAAAAAAGACCAAGAAAGACCATTAGGGCCAGTCGTGGCCAACTCTGGGGTTGCGGCGCTCATCTCACTTTATTGGCCGAGGGAGCCGGCGTACAGCTTCCGGGTCATGTGGCCAGCATGACTAAGATACTTCTGGCGAACCAGAGCAGCACACGGAAATGCCTTTTACCTTCCCACCAGAGAGGTACCTATTTATCTATTTGCACTTTGATGCACTTTCCAACTGCTAGGTTGGCAGGAGAAGGGACCGAGCAATGGGAGCTCACCCCGTCGTGGGGATTCAAACCGCCAACCTTCTGATCAGCAAGTCCTAGGCTCTGTGGTTTAACCCACAGCGCCACCCGCGTCCCTTCCAGCATGCTCCAACAGAAATTAAGGCACACTACTCTTCAGAGCATAGGAAACATCTTGCCCAGGTTAGCCCTGCCCTGCATAATCAATCCCATGACGCAGTGCACACACAGCATTTGAATGGGAATGCCCATCAACTTTGTGGCGGCCCAGTCCCCTCAAATATTTTATGGGGGGGGTGAAGCCCCTGCAGCCCCTAGGAGCTGGCTCATATGAACACCAGGAAAAAATGGGTTATTACTTGCAAAATCTCATACTACATTACATTTCAGTCTCTAAGCTATCACAGACCGGTTTGTTTGCTTTTTGTCCTGTTAAAATATTAGAGATGCTTACCACGTCCTGCAAGAACAGTGTGGGCTAAAGCAACCATCCAGAAGATTAGTGGGACAGGAGACATTGTTGCTTCGTTACAGGCTGGCCAAATGGGTCCAAACTCAGTCCTTTGCCTCCTAAAAATAAACAGAATGGAAGGCTAAATATTAACTTCCCATATTTATTTTGATTCTCGTAAACAAAAGGAGGGGAAAAGAGGGATTCCCGAAACCTGCAGGGTAAACAGACTGAACAAGCAACGGTGTGCAGAACATTTTGCAATACTTTTTTTTTAAAAGCCACTTAAAGCTCCAGTTCACTCTTGTTTGGGAATATTTTGTACACTGTACCTTTCTGGACAGAATGTTCAATTACCCAATCTTTATCAGGTGCGGAGGTGGGATGGTTGAAAGGCGATACTGTAGGTTTTTTCTTCTTACCCAAGTCTTAAGACTAGCCAAGTTTCTCTTTTCTTCTCAAGAGCAAGAGTGATAATGTCACTGACCAGAGCAATATTTGCTAGTGTTGTAAGCTGGGAGAGGGTGGGTAGAGGTCATGTCTGGCTTGGCACATGATGATCCCTTTGTTAGGAGTCTAGACTCAGGCTATGCTCATATTAGTAGCTTAAAATGTTTCAGTGTTGTTTCTTTACTTGTAAGATCTGCTTCAGAGGAACTAACCACCAAAGGAAGTTATGTTGGTAGGAACACAGAGCAAGGCCTTTTTTGTGGTGGCACCCCAGGTATAGTTCCCTTCCTAGGAAAATGTGTGCCTTGGGGCACCAGACCCCCCCCCCAAAAAAAACCAGTGCAGCCCCAAATTGCATGAGGTTGCGGAGGCCATTTTGACCACTGTCCTCTCTTGAGAAAAAACAGGATGTCCCATATTTTATTCACACACACACACACACACACACGCACACACACACGCGCGCGCACACACAGACATATGAGAATAAAATAAACTTTTCTGTTTTACAATTTAAAATACTATTCTACATCCTTAAGATATCAATGACTTCCCTTCTATTTCCATGGTTCATTTTACATATCATAAATCCCTGCATATTTTACAAAAACTATACCATTCAGTATTCTATCATTGCATCCATCAAAACTTGTTTACACTGTTGAATTTATCTTAATGCTGCCAGCATTTTCAGCTGTACACCGGTATTCCACATATATTCAATAAACGTTTTCCAGTCTTTAAACATATGTGCTTCTTGTTCTCTTATTCTATATGTTACGTCTGCAAGTTGTGTATATTCAACTTAAGTTGCCATTCTTCTTGGGACAGATGTCCCACATATTCTGGGACAGTTGACAGGCATGTTTCTTCTATGTTTGAAGCAAGATGAAGGACAAGAAATAATAGGTCTTCTGTGTGGAGAAGATGGAGAAATGCTATTCAGGTGACAGAGAGAAGGCAGAATAGCTCAGCACTTACAGTGTCCAACCTGTTGAAAAGAATAAATGATGCTGGAAGGGAGCTGCAGCCCAAGGTAAGAAAAGGGTTGGTAGGGAGCAAGTATGAATTATGAATAAAATGGAGAAGGAGAAGGAGAAAGAAGAAAGAAGAAGGAGACAGTTTTACAGATCTTTTTGTGGAGGGCTTTTACAGCTCTCAAAGGGTCCAATAAACTGCCATAATGGCGGGAGACAGAATTGTGTGCTGGGGACCTGAAATCTAGGACAGATATTTCTTTCTTAGCAGGCCTCTGTTTCCTTTTCAGAAAAAAGCTCCTCCTCCTCCTCCTCCTCCTCCTCTTCTTCTTTTTATAACTCACCCATCTGGCTGTGTTGCCCCAGCCACTGTGGGCAGCTTCCAACATACATAAAAACATAATAAAATACCAAAAATAAAAAAACTCCCAGTACAGGGCTGCCTTCAGCTGTATATTTATTTATATCCTTGACGTCTGATGGGAGGGCGAACCACAGGGCGGGCGCCACTACCGAGAAGGCCCTCTGCCTTGTTCCCTGTTACTTCACCTCTCTCAGTGAGGGAACCGCTAGAAGGCCCTTGGAGCTGGATCTCAGTGTCCGGGCTGAACGACAGGGGTGGAAATGCTCCTTCAGGTATAATCAACAATATGTGTTTTCTAAGGCAACAAAAAAATGTGACTTCATCTGGACTGAATCTGAGACCTTTTGAATGCAAAGCACATTCTCCATCAATGAGTTATGGCTCTTCACCAAAGGCTCCAACATATATGGTTAGAGTGCCCTAAACTGAAACAATTTTGGGCAATGATAATCTCTGAAATAAGACTAATTACTGGTTATCAACTCACTTTAAAACTGAAAGAGTTTCTTCCATTCAGAGGAAAACTATTTTGATAAACACCTGGTGACATATCAACGAGACATGTCATTCTAGAAGCTAGAATGTTAATTGCCAGTTGCTGGAAGTTAAAAGAGCATCTGCCAATTTCACAGTGGTACAACCAAGTTTTGGAAAGTGCCCTAACTGGGGGTGGGGGTGGAATCACTAGCCAGATCAAAACATTATCTGGCTGACAAGATCAGATGAATAATTAGAAAAATTGCTTCCATGGCTCTGGGATACAGAAAATTTGCCAGCGATATCCAGACCACAACAAGAAAGTTGTATTTTTTAATATTAAAAAACAATGTGCGGTTCTTATAGCCTTAAGAAAAGATATTGCTGTATTATTCAGTAGTTATTGCAACACATACCTGTTTGCTGTGATTTAACAACAGGCAGAAAAATCCTAGATACCAATTATGCAATGATGGGGGTGCAGAGATACACAGCTGCTGTGCTAGCAGAACAAGTACTGTATCTGCTATGGTAGAGATGGGATGAAAAGGTTCCCTAGGTGGGCAGGGCAAGAGGCAAAAAAAGTGGGCAATGCAACAAGTGTGAATTTTCCCTTTGTACAGTAGGTTAGTTCATTCACACTCACATGTTCCTCTCTGTCCTCTTTCCAGGCAAGCAAAAAGTCAAGCCTGGTCCCAACTTCGCTGGCTGCCAATTCGTTTCGGGGCCCACTTCAAAGTGCTGGTTCTGACCTATAAAGTCTTACGTGGATCAGGACCCCAACGCCTTAAGGACCACCTCTCCCCATATGAACCGATCCGGACCCAGAACTTGTCATCCAAGGCCTTCTCATCCAAGAACTTCTCTATCTACCCCCTCCTTGAGAGGTTGGGAGGGTGGCAACACAAGAATGGGTCTTTTTTGGGATGGCTCCCTGTCTGTGGAATGCTCTCCCCAGAGAGACTCGCCTGGCACCATCAGTACAATGTCATTAGACACCAGATAAAAACATTCCTCTTTACCCAGGCCTTTGGCCATTAAATAATCTGTGGCCAGTTAGAGCTGTGGGTGGGGGACTGTTGTTGTGATTATTTTATTAATATGCTGTCTGTTATTATGTTTTTATTATAGTGCTCCATAAAATGTGATCTTTTGATAAAGTGTGTAATAATAATAATAATAATAATAATAATAATACCCCGCCTATCTGGCTGAGTTTCCCCAGCCACTGTGGGCAGCTCCCAACAGAATATTAAAAACACAATAAAACATCAAACATAAAAACTTCCCTAAACAGAGCTGCCTTCACATGTCTTCTAAAAGTCAGATACAGTAGAACCTCAGTTGTCAAATGCTTCGAAAGTCAAACATTTCGGCTTTCAAAAGCCGACAACCCAGAAGTGAATGCTTTCATTTTTGAATGCGCCTTGGAAGTTGAACGGCTTCTGAGGTGCGTTTCTCCATTTTTTCAATGGATTTTCCCAACTGGCAATTGCGCCTCGGTTGTTGAACATTTCGGAAGTCAAGCGGTCTTCCGGAACGGATTACGTTTGACAACCGAGGTTCCACGGTAGTTGTTTATTTCCTTGACGTCTGAAGGGAGGGTGTTCCACAGGCTGGGCCCCACTGCCGAGAAGGCCCTCTGCCTGGTTCCCTGTAACCTCACTTCTCACAAGGAGGGAGCCTCCAGAAGGCCCTCAGAGCTGGACCTCAGTGTCCAGGCTGAACAATGAGGATAGAGATGTTCCTTCAGTTCAATGATACAGATTTTTCTCTGTATAAGCAAACCATCCATATTGCATATCATTCTGATTTTAACATTTTTAAATGTTTCTACTTTTTTATATGTAAAAAAATTAAGATTATACTGCACGATTTTTGCCATTGGACACGTCTCATGTAATTTCTTATTGTTGCCCAAGAGAAACTGCCGGAACATTACTCTGCTGCTTTCAGACTGGTTTTCCCAAAGTGTGTTTCTAAAAAGTCTGAGGTTCTGCCAAGTGTAATTAAGGGAAACCAAGATGGCTTGGCTCATACAAACTTACTTGCATTAGAGGCTCTAGGAATATTGATAAAAGACAAAGCCAGGTTCTGTGGCATGTTTGTTTAAGATCCTTAAAGAGCAGGATTTCAAAGAAATGAAAATCAAATAAAAAACCGAGGCTTATCATGCTGAATACAGTCAGTATTAATAAATGCATCACATGGGTGGGAGCGCACAGCTACCTATCAATTGTTCAGGATTTCCTGAGTTACCTTTAATCCGCTCTGATGCAATGCCTGTATACTCAGCGGGGCATTGTCTACCAATTACAGTGGTACCTCAGGTTACATACGCTTCAGGTTACAGACTCTGCTAACCCAGAAATAGTACTTCAGGTTAAGAACTTTGCTTCAGGATGAGAACAGAAATTGTGCTCTGGCGGCACGGCAGCAGCAGGAGGCCCCATTAGCTAAAGTGGTGCTTCAGGTTAAGAACAGTTTCAGGTTAAGTACAGACCTCCAGAACGAATTAAGTACTTAACCTGAGGTACCACTGTATCTGGGTCCTGCTACAAATGTCAGGAGTGCCTGCAGGAGCCGGGCCCTGTGACTGGTAGGCCACAGGAGAGGCTTGACCGAAGACTGGTAGCCATAGCTGTCAACATTTTCCTTTTTTTGAGGGAAATTCCCTCATTCCAAATAGGATTCCTCGCAAGAAAAGGGAAAAGTTGACAGCTATGCTTGTAGCACCTGGTGGCAAGGGCTGGGAGGGGTATATAAGGCCAGCATTTCCCTCTGGCTCTTTGCTACAGCAATGTGCTACCCACCCTAGCTGTGCTTTGGCTTCCTGACTCCTGGTATCCTGACCCTTGGACTCTTGGCTACCTGACCCCTGGACTGCTGACCCTGGACTGCTGATTCCCACTTCCTGACCTCTACCCTGGCCCTGACGTACCAAGCCAGGACTCCCAACTGCCTGTAACCCGGACCGTGACAACGAAACATCCTGCTTATTGGAGATGTCAGGTATTAGACCATGGACTTTTTGGATGCAATGCACCTGCTGCACTCTTTTGAGCTATGGCCCCAAGTGAAAGAAGGGCAACAGCCTTAGGTCTTTTAAGTCATCCTACATACACCAAAGAGGAGGCTTTTGAACACTGAAAAATAATCTTGCATTTTCATGTTCTAAAGTCAGCCCAGCATCACCTCCAGCCTGTGTCTCACCTTTTATCTCAAGACATTAGGATCTAGGCACTCTGGATTTTTATTTTTTATTTTATATGTCTTTCTGATGTGTTTTTAAATCAGACACAAGGAATTCCAGCAGCTTTCTCACTTTACTTAGTAACCATATGAGCACTTCTGAACATGATCACCAGAGGGCGCAACATACTCTAGAAAACTAAAAGCAGTCTTAATTTACTGTACTTTCTTTTTAAAGGTTTCCTACAGAAAAACCTTTCAGAGTCGATGGCCCATTAGCTGGCCCCTAAATGCTTAATACTCCATTTTCTTCCCTTCCGCTTTAACCTGGGAAGAGAAATTAAATTATAATTGGTCAAATTCTACCGAGAAGAGGTATCAAATAATCTCTTGGTCTTCTAAGGAGCAAGGCTCTGGTTTTGTGTTTTCTGTTACAGAGTAGTATAGCTACGCTTCTTGAAATTTCCCACCATTCACAGTGGCATACCTGCAGCATGCCCTTCAATATGTAATACTTTCCCGCAATACCTGTCCCAGGGCCTGTATTAGCTTGTTGGAGCCACCATGCTCTCCTTTGGGAGGAATGGATTTTAATAAATTAAAATAAAATTGGGGGGGGCAGGCAAAGTGCCTAACCAACTGCACTGGCTCCTGGTGGAGTACGGGGTCAGGTTTAAGGTGGTTTTGACCTTTAAAGCCCTATGCGGCCTAGGAACCACGTACCTACGGGACCACCTCTCCTGGCCCCTGCAGAGTACCTTAAGGTCCACAAATGACAACATTTTGGAGGTCCCAGATCGCAAGGTGGTTAGATTAGTCTCAACTAGGGCCTGGGCCTTTCAGTACTGGCCCTGACCTGGTGGAACACTCTGTCACAAGAGACTAGGGCCCTGCGGGTCTTGACATCTTTCCGCAGGGCCTGCAAGACAGAGCTGTTCCGCCTTGCCTTTGGTTTGGACTCAGTCTGACCTTTCTGTTTCCCTCCCCTTAGTTTTGATTTAGGAGCTACTTTTAAAATGAGGCTGCATTTTAAATTGTGTTTTAACCTGTATTTTAAATTGAGTTTTCCCCCCTATTATGTATTTATTGTAATTTTACTGGTGTTAGCCGCCCTGAGCCCAGCTCTGGCCGGGGAGGGCGGAGTATAAATAAAATTTATTGTTGTTGTTGTTGTTGTTGTTGTTGTTACTAAGTGTGTCCAACAATCCTTAGGGGCAGAACCCGCAGGCAAGCAGGCCCCACACACATTCACCCCCTGCTGCCATTTTGATTACAATGCAATGCACTCTTAAAGGGGAATTAAAATGGCAACAGGTCAAGTCTAGCCACATGGGAACGGACTTTCAGGTGTCTTCTAAAGGTTGTTTAGTTACTTATCTCCTTGGCTCGGGGGGTCACATTACTCCATACCCTCCAACATTTCTCTGATGAAAATACAGTCATACCTCTTCTTGTGAATGCTTCATGTTGTGTTTTTTCGGGTTAAGAATGCGGCAAACCCGGAAGTATTTACTTCCGGGTTTCGCTGCGCACGCATGCGCAAGAACATTCTGCACAGTTCACACATGCACAGAAGCGTTCTGCAGGGTTTGTGCATGCGCAGAAGTACTCTATCATGCTTCGCACATGTGCAGAAGTGCCGTTCTGGTTGCGGACTTTTCGGGGTGCGGACTGCACCCCAGAATGGATCGTGTCTGCAACCAGAGGTACCACTGTATAGGAAAGCAGGACATTCCAGGATCAAATAAAAAACCGGAATGGCTTCTGTAAATCCAGGACTGTCCCTGGAAAACAGGGACGCTATTCTACCCACAACAGCCTGTTTTAGGAGCAGTCCCCTAGCTTCCCTGTCATGTTTGGAATTCTACCTGCAACATAGCAGGGTTTCTGCTAGATTCTGCTGGCATAACTAGAGTCTAGGATTGCTCTTAGGAACATGCTTACTTGCAAAGGAATGTTCAAATGTATATTATCCATAATAATAATAAAAAACTCTTTCCAGTAAATGCAAATGAATAATTAAGAAGAGATTATGTGCTTCATAGTATATGGTTACCCCTGGCAAAGCATCAGCAAACCAATTGAGCTAAAGATAAAATGTATTTCTTTTTCTCTCCGCAAGGTATTATTTGGAGGGTATCGTGTAATTATACATGACATCTAAGTCTCTGATCTAAAGTACAAAGATAAATTTAGCCCATTTAATTTAATCCATGTAAGGCATGTTTTGAACTATCCTGAGCACTCCTGCCTCAACAGTAAAAAGAGAAGCTACTCTCTCGCCCCAAGAAGGATAGCATTGCTTTTACTCTTTATAGCAGGTGATTACATTCAGGTACGAATTCTGTGGTTTTATGAAACAGCCCCGTGTTGTTATTGTTGCTTCTTAACAACAAAAGCCCTGAAGGTACCAATTATTTGCAGATGGAAACTCTAGGCCTGGCTTCCTTCACCTCAGCCCTCCAGATTTTTTTGGCCTACAACTCTCATGATCCCTAGCTAGCAGGACCAGTGGTCGGGGATGATGGGAATTGTAGTCTCAAAACATCTGGAGGGCCGATGTTGAGGAAGCCTGCTCTAGGCCTCCAAATAAAAATGAAACCAGTGCCCAGATATTGGCTTGGAGGGCTCTTCCTGAATACTGAAAGCAGAAGCCAACTTTCCCCACCTCACCCCCCAAAATGCCTCTCCAGAGGGTTGGGGAACCCTCTTGAGAAACACTGGATGTGGATGGTTGTGGAAGGTCAACCCAAAAGCAAATTGACAACATGTTTTTGTTTTTCCTGAGGATTGCAAGTCAGGGTCCACAACTCATTACATTTCGGTGACCATTTGGATGAGCAATAGCATTGTTTTGCTGTTTGAGGAGAAACAGCACCTGTGGAGAAATGCCAGATATGTGTTTGTGTTTGGAAAGAAGGAGTGAAATGACTCCTGTGTCCTCTGTGACAAGAGTTTGAGGCCTTGTACAGTGGTACCTTGGGTTAAGTACTTAATTCGTTTCTGAGGTCCTTTCTTAACCTGAAACTGTTCTTAACCTGAAGCACCACTTTAGCTAATGGGGCCTCCTGCTGCCGTGAGCACGATTTCTGTTCTCATCCTGAAGCAAAGTTCTTAACCTGAAGCACTATTTCTGGGTTAGCGGAGTCTGTAACCTGAAGCGTATGTAACCTGAAGCGTATGTAACCTGAGGTACCGTTGTACTGTTA